GTGAGGCCCAAGATTCATTTGGGCATCAACGTAGTGTATTTGTTGCTTACACGCAAACTTTAAAAAGGCTTTGTTCCTTGAAGAACAAGAAACTCAAAGAAACATACTGTTGACATATCGGATTTTTTGTGGATGCATTTTCTTGACTTGCTTCGTTTTGCTTCACCAAATGCCGTACCGTGTTAGTCCCAGGGGCCATGCACTGTTCTCAGGTGTGCGCGGAGCGCACGCAGCGCGTCCCACCTGGGTTTCTCTGAGAATGGTTTCGTATCCCAAAAACTAATGATTTGTGGTATAACTACATTGATTTATCATATGATAACAAATGATGTTTGGTATGGAAACTCATGATTTATGGTATAAATCTAGTGATTTGTGGTATAAAAACTCATTATTTATGGTATAAACTAATGATTTGTGGTATAAAAACTCATTATTTATGGTAAAAACTAATGATTTGTGGTATAAAAACTCATGATTTATCATTGAATTATCATCATTTTCTCTACCAGTAGTTACTACTTGTTTGCCTTACTAGGACCAAAAATGGAGCATGCTCCGTTTCTTGGACAAATCCAAAATATCGAGGACACTTCCGGTACCCTGCTTCTAGATCAGATGGGCCATAGTATGCATAGGACTATGTCCACTAACAATTGGGGCGCAACGAACCAACTTGAGCAAAATGTATATGGTGTAGAGTGTAGACATTAACGATAGCATTCTAGGGATTATTCGTTGAAATGCTGGAAATATATGGAAATATCCTATATATATATATATACACACCTAGAACATCAAATGAACCCAAATTTCAGTGTACATATCAGTGTATACTGCAGTTTGATGGTGACATCACCAGGTGATATCAAACAACACTGGCCGTTGGTTCGAAGCATCGGTGGAAATCCACGTTCACGATGGAAAAATGTCAAGTGTTGTGGAAGCCTGAGTCCTAAATAGACTATGAAATGGAGGAGAATCTAAGCATTCACCCATGTAAATCAGGATCTTAAGGATCTTAGTTTCTGACTCCTGGTGTTATCACATCTGTAGCTGGATTGCAATCATGGGGTATCGGTATGAAGCTAGATGGACCCCATTCATGGTGCTGTCAATCCACTCCTTTTGCGGCACCAGCATCCTAAAAAGTTGATTGTTTGGAAACCACCCCTTTCCTGTACAGGCTATTTCCACCCTCTGTTGCTCTAGCTTATTTCAACATTGTCACCAAGGCACCAAAGCTATCCTATGACCCCAATGCTTTCGTGCTTTTAATTTCAACCCCCCATTTTTCCATCATCCCATTCCGCCAAGATTTCCCCATGATTTACCAACATTATCCCCCAAAAACCCCAATCCCCACACCAAAACAGTAACAATTCCAGGCGTCTGCCGAAATGTGACAACCGAGGCACCAAAACTGCCAATACTACGCTGTTGATCAGGCACTCGTGGCCCATCGTTGCACGGCTCTGTACGGATCCCCAAAAACCTTCACGACCGCCGTGGCCCGTTCGGGCGGCAGCAGCGCGAGGTCGGTTCACCGCCTCCGCAGGGATGGGAAAACACCCTAGCCTAAGGGCCCAAGAACTCACGCAGGGACCATTGGACCTTGAAGAAATTGGGGTTTTGAAGTTTGACTCTATCGTCTATCATCAAGATTGTTGAGTTTTGATGAGTTTTGAGTGTCCAAATAAAAAAACTGCATGTCCTAAACCTTTGCCGAAGCTTTGCAGGTCTCAGAAATTCGGGGCACCCCAAAATCCAGGTATCTGGCCAAGGGAAAAACAAGCGACCGAGTTTGGGTTTGCATTTTGGGTTTCAAACAAGACCCTCCCCTTGTTCCAACACCCACCGGGTATCTCAGTCAAGGAACGCCGTGTCGAGCAACAGCGCACCACTGGAACGGTCGGCCCGCTGCAAAAATGCTAGCAGAGAACTCCAAATTTGTACCATTTTCACTGGAAATGTTTGGGGGGGGTCTAAACGAAAAAATAGCGGTTCTGTCTCCTTTCCTGTATGTACTTCCATCCCAAGAACAAACAAACAAACGAACAAACAAACAAACCAATCAACAAACAAACGAACAAACAAGCTACCAAACAAACAAACAAACAGGCAAACAAAAGAAATCGTGGGAAATCCGTAGCTGCACATGTTTGCTGCAAAAGAAATGGACAATGATTTCTTTGCAATCCTTGGTCTGCCCTGGCTGCCCTGTTTCGTTTCAATATGTTCTCAACTGTGGAAGCCCGGAACTTTGGATTTTTTTGCCCTCACTGGAATTCCGCAATGGCCTGTGCGATATCTACCTGTACAGCCTGCTCAGATCGTTGAATGCCATAGCAGCCTGGCGGGCTGTGGCTATGGCTGTAGGTATCCTGTGGATTGGCCGCCAGTGTTGGCATGCCGGCAATGTCAATCAATGAAGCTTGATGGGTCCTTCAAACTCTTGTATATAAGCTAAATCCAAACATGTTTTGGTGAAATCCCAAGTTTTGTGGGTTTGTAGGTTGAATCCGATTTTGTGTGGGCTAAAGCCACATCTTTGTTTATCCCAAGTGGAGCCTGCATGGTCCAAGTCTACATATATCTGCAGCCGCAACATGGATAGTTATTGTTATCCACAGATATGGAAAGTTATTGTTGGATGATAATGGAAAAGTCATGGAGCAATCATGGATAATCATGGATAGAAGGGTATAAATAATCGAGAATGATGTCTAGATAATGGATAGAAGATGGTAGCAAATCTATATATATACACACACGCGCAACACCTGGGCTTTGCCCAGGCGTTGCAGCGTAGATGATCATGATGATGGTGATGATGATCATGGTGGTGATGATGATGATGATGGTGATGACGATGACGATGATGATGCTGATGATGATGCTGATGACGATGACGATGACGATGATGATGACGATGACGATGATGATGCTGATGATGCTGATGATGATGATGATGCTGCTGATGATGACGGCGATGATGATGATGATGATGATGACGATGACGATGATGATGCTGATGATGATGCTGATGACGATGACGATGACGATGATGATGACGATGACGATGATGATGCTGATGATGCTGATGATGATGATGCTGATGATGATGATGGCGATGATGATGATGATGATGATGCTGATGATGCTGATGATGATGATGATGATGCTGATGATGATGACGGCGATGATGATGATGATGATGATGATGACGATGACGATGATGATGCTGATGATGCTGATGATGATGATGATGATGATGCTGATGATGATGACGGCGATGATGATGATGATGATGCTGATGATGCTGATGATGATGATGATGCTGATGATGATGACGGCGATGATGATGATGATGATGATGATGATGATGATGATGACGATGACGATGATGATGCTGATGATGATGATGATGCTGATGATGCTGATGATGATGATGATGATGCCGATGATGATGACGGCGATGATGCTGATGATGATGCTGATGACGATGACGATGACGATGATGATGACGATGACGATGACGATGATGATGGGTTGCCTGTCGTGGTTGCGGTTCCGGGCAAAGCATTTGTCGTGTGTATATATATATATATGGCGGGTAACGATGGCCATAACGGATCTCAGCATAGCCGGAGCCATGCGACCCAGATTGCCAAAGCTCCGTTCAACATCCTTCAACCCTACTGCCCCGTTGGACCATCAGCTTATCAGCTCAACGCGGTTCACCAAGGTCACTCCTTTGTTTAAACCACCGCCATGGCCATAGGCTTTTCCTTTCGCATCTTTCGCCTCGGGTCGATGTTATGGTTATTTTTTGGGTCAACTTGGATCGGCATCCCTTTGAGATCAGCCGTTCCGCCGTGTTTCAAGAGTCAGCTTTCATCAGTTTTCTCGCCTCCAGCAAGAAATGGATGCGAGGCATTTCGCCGAAGTCGTTGGCTCAGCACAGGGCCGTGCTAGACATCGTGGTGTGAAAAAATCTAAACATGGAATGGTAAACCCTTGCCAGTCTGGTTGGTGGTATACCCCTCTGAAAAATATGAGTTCGTCAGTTAGGATTATGAAATTCCCAATATATGGGAAGTCATAATCCATTCATGTTCCAAACCACCAACCAGCAGTCCTGATGAGTATCATTTCCATTGCAAACCTCTGAAAAGTTCAACTTCGACGTCTTTTTTGGTCCGAGACCCACTGAACAACCGTTAGGTCGAACTGTCAGCTCTTCATGAAAATTGTGAATACCATGGCCCCCCCGTTCACCATCAAAAACCTGATTTTTCATAGGTTACAACCCGTATATTGCATAGTAAAACCTTTGTTTTCATGGTTTTGGGTGCCCATGGTAGTGAATAAAATCCTTTTGGCTAGATTGAAAGAGTGAAAACCAAAATAGTATGAAGAAATCAACTGAAAATGTGTATGGAATTTTGTGTAGATATTGAAATTTCGAGCGCTTCTGTTCAGTTCATTTTTTTTTCGGATTTGTGTTTGTTGAAGTCCAAAGTTTCGCACCCGATATCGTCGACAAAAATGATCCAAAATTAGGAAATTTACTCGGATTGGCTGAGGGTGTCCCGAAAATGCGCATGACTATTCAAAGATTCACCCAAGATTAGCCAAACATGGGCATCCATAAAAACCACACAAGGTTTTTCTCAAAAAATTGCTTATAGCTTATGAAAAGCCGATAGAAGCCGGGTTTTTGAATGTTTTTGATGGTGAATTGGGTTCCGTATAGTCATTGGCCTCATGGGACAAGTGGGTCAGTTTCGACCGAAGGTTGACTGTTCATTTTGGTCACATCAACGTGAAAATCCGGCCGCTACGCTGTCGCTGTCATGTCTGGTTCTATGTTCTTTAAATCGGGGGGTTCCATAAACCAATGGGTTTCAATGCTACAACAACTTTATTTGGGATGATCATGGGTATCCCCTAGAAAAACCACCATTTGCAGACCCTCATTTGACTCATGATTGGCTTCATTTCACTTTGTCCAACAATTCCAGCACCTTGGCCTTGGATTCGTCTCGAACGCGACGGTAGGCTGACAAGTCCCCAGGGTCAATAGCAGGAGGATCATCTAAGTTCCAATCCTGAAACACGGGCCTTTTCTTCCAAACTTCCTTGTCACCATCGAGTTTGCCGCCACAACCACAGCAAGAGATCACCACGTCAAAGTCTTCAGGATTGAAATCTGCCATGGCATCAGAAGTGAAAGTGGAAATGTCAATCCCGGCATCCTTCATCACGCTGATGGCACCCTCTTTCACGGCCGTACCACCAACAATGCCAGCAGAAGCTACTCCCACGGATGCATTGCCACGCAATTGCCGGAGCCATCCATCTGCCATTTGGGATCGGCAGGAGTTGTGGTTGCACAAGAACCTTGAGATGGGTGTGCAGTTTGATGAAAAAAACGTCAACTGCGTAGAGAGCTAGACTTGGAATGCCAAATGCATGAACATGAATTCAAGAAAACAGCAACGTGATGATGCTGTGAAAAAAATTGAAACCAACAAACACAACACGCTTCAAAATAAATCAAAAACACTAAGCAATCGATCAGGAACATCACGTTCTTGCGGTACTGCGGACCGTAAGGCTTGCTCAACATGTCCAACAATTCCAGCACCTTGGCCTTGGATTCGTCTCGAACGCGACGGTAGGCTGACAAGTCCCCAGGGTCAATAGCAGGAGGATCATCTAAGTTCCAATCCTGAAACACGGGCCTTTTCTTCCAAACTTCCTTGTCCCCATCGAGTTTGCCGCCACAACCACAGCAAGAGATCACCACGTCAAAGTCTTCAGGATTGAAATCTGCCATGGCATCAGAAGTGAAAGTGGAAATGTCAATCCCGGCATCCTTCATCACGCTGATGGCACCCTCTTTCACGGCCGTACCACCAACAATGCCAGCAGAAGCTACTCCCACGGATGCATTGCCACGCAATTGCCGGAGCCATCCATCTGCCATTTGGGATCGGCAGGAGTTGTGGTTGCACAAGAACCTTGAGATGGGTGTGCAGTTTGATGAAAAAAACGTCAACTGCGTAGAGAGCTAGACTTGGAATGCCAAATGCATGAACATGAATTCAAGAAAACAGCAACGTGATGATGCTGTGAAAAAAATTGAAACCAACAAACACAACACGCTTCAAAATAAATCAAAAACACTAAGCAATCGATCAGGAACATCACGTTCTTGCGGTACTGCGGACCGTAAGGCTTGCTCAACATGTCCAACAATTCCAGCACCTTGGCCTTGGATTCGTCTCGAACGCGACGGTAGGCTGACAAGTCCCCAGGGTCAATAGCAGGAGGATCATCTAAGTTCCAATCCTGAAACACGGGCCTTTTCTTCCAAACTTCCTTGTCACCATCGAGTTTGCCGCCACAACCACAGCAAGAGATCACCACGTCAAAGTCTTCAGGATTGAAATCTGCCATGGCATCAGAAGTGAAAGTGGAAATGTCAATCCCGGCATCCTTCATCACGCTGATGGCACCCTCTTTCACGGCCGTACCACCAACAATGCCAGCAGAAGCTACTCCCACGGATGCATTGCCACGCAATTGCCGGAGCCATCCATCTGCCATTTGGGATCGGCAGGAGTTGTGGTTGCACAGAAACATCACCTTGGAAAGGGGCCAATTGTAGGATTTCCTTTTCCTTCATTTGCTTTTGAAGAAGGAAATCAGCCGATGTAAGAGGGCTGTCAAAAGTCTGTTACCATCCAAGTCATACAGCATAACGGATAGAAACACATGACTATAACTCATAGCTCAAAAGTAGGCTACGAAACTCACCCACGTCGAACTGGTAATATTTAGGATCGTAAACCCTCCATTTTTGGGGGTGGATCACAAAATGAGCCGTAGCCATATCCAATTCAAGCCTATCAGATGAAGAACCAGCCAAAAGGCCCACGGATCCATGGATCACAACATGTTCTGGACGCCCGGAAAGCCAGTCCCAAGCCCAATATCCCACAGCGTTTCCGGCTTCCAACCCGGAACGGCACTCCCCTTCGAATCAAACTGCTAAGGAATTAGTCAAACTATCTTCTGGTCGAACATGGCCATGGAAATTATATTAAACCATTTCCAAGTGTTAAACTACAATAATTGATGGATTTTGGGTTGCCATATGTTGCCATGTTAGATTGACACAGAGTATATGAAAATGTCACCCGCCACGCGCTGATTCCAAGCGCTGAACTTTCGATTGGACAGATGATTCACCATGCAAAACAGCTTGGTTTTACCATCCAGAATATAGATATTCTATCTATATATATATATAGATATAGATATAGATATAGATATAGATATAGATATATATATATAGATATATATATATATAGATAGATAGATAGATACATATATATATACATATATTATTATATTGTTTAAAAACTAACAAAATCAAGGTCTTTGATTGTTTTTCAGGTCGCCCATGGTGGTCGGACTTGACGTATCTTTGGGGTCCAGAAAAAATCCCATCGCCTTCCTGGGATGGATCCGTCAAGTTGATGAGTCGGATGAATCGTGTTAATATGCAGTTGATATGTAGCACAAACGCGTGTTTGCTTGTTTATGCATTCATGTTTTCAATCATACAATACATCGCACGATTCTCTGTAATTATATACATACCTAGATACACGACACACACATATATATATAATTATATACATCACAACTGTGGCACATTATCTCTAAATCTGAATGAAAACACATAACAACCCACATACGGTGGAACCCCACCGAGCCACATTGAACTTATACTGCCGCCCATAGTTGGCGCCCATCACCTCGCCCCCGCTGGTGGACGGCTCACATGCGTTACCCATCAGCACGGTGGACGGGGTGGACGGTGGACGACGCTGCGCTGCAAAAAGCTGCGGCACAAACAAAAAGTTTCAACGCGAAGGGCAGTTCTGAGGTGCGAAACCATGCGAAACCATGCGAAACCCCTGAAATCTCCCGGGTGTTGCCATCACCTGGAGTCCATGGATCGTGCCAGTTTCAGGCTGTCACTATCTGTCACTGGTACCCTGACCATCCGAGTCGTAGATCAAAGTAGATGGTTTGGCCGCTTGGCCTTGTCGGTTTGAATCATACCTTTTAACCAGGATTTTGGTCAGAGAAAACAGTGATTCGCTCGGCGATTCATCTGAAATCGTTCCTAAAACTTGGCCCTGGCACCCTGGCGCATCCAGGCCTGCCACGCGTGAAACCGGTGCCGGTTTGGAGGCCTTGCGCCTGCCCATCTCAAGGGCGCATGGATCCCCATGGAAAACTTCAGGCGATGGGATAGCCAAGCCTGGACCCCATACTCAAACCAAACGATTTCGGAAGTTCAATCTGCCAAGAAGTGGCGTTCGAAAAGTTCATTCTTGGTGTACCCAAAAGGGCAAGGGGACGCTACCGCTATGACGATGGAAATCCCATGGCCCCATGCCCCACTGGGATGATCCCACGATATGATGAACAATCATCAGACAGGCAAAAAGTTTTAGATTCGTCATTCCAGTATAGTCATCACATGTCATCACCCTTTCGCGACTGCAATCTCAAATTACGGTTTTGCAGATGAACAACAAATTCAATGCAAAAGAAGTGGATGCACTGTTTGAGTTGCCTCGTTTTTAAATTCTTCCAGAATGCCATGGCGTTCTTTTGAAAAAGTCCCAGGGGCCATGCACTGTTCTCAGCCATGCGCAGAGAGCACGCAACGCGTCCCACCTAAGAAAATAACAACGCGGTCGACACACTACGACTGCAGAGAATAGACTGGACCCTATGGGTTTCTCTTTGAGCTATCCCCAAGACCTCTTATGATTTATAGTAATTACCCTACTGTAGCTACTGAAACTGCCATTTTGGGTGTACTCCGTTCTTGGACAAATCCATATGATGAAGGATGCTTCAGGTACCTGCCGATCAGATTGGTAGATAGGTCATATTACGAATAGGACTATGTCCTACCAACAATTGGAACGAACCAACTTGAGCAAAATGTATACAGTTGTATTCTGTAGTTTGATGGTGTAAATATTAATGATAGCATTCTAGGGATTATTCGTTGAAATGCAGGAAATATATGAAAATATCCTATATACACACACCTAGAACATCAAATAAACCCAAATTTCAGTGTGTTTGGAAATGTGCGCATTTGCTAAATTTCCGCGCATTGGCAAATTTTGTGCGCGTTTCGCAAAAAGGTGCGTGATTGAACATTGGCTGTAATGGCTGGCGAAACCAAACTTGTGGGTTGCGCAAAATTGCACCAAATGATGCAAAATTTCACTGCCAACGTTCGCACGTTTTGTCCATTTGTGGTTGATTGACCTTTTGTTTATATTTCTTGGGATTGAACACTTATTTGTGCAAGTTTGAAATTCCAGGCATTATAACTATAAATTATATGTAATTATATAATTTATATCAAAAAACTCTGGTTTGAACCATCCGAATTTCCGCCCACATTCATGATGGCACATTGTCCCATCATCCAATTCCAGAAATTCCAGACGCCTGAATTTTCCATGAACAGAATTACCCAGGCATCCGCCTAGCCCCAAAACTGCCTGGGACTAGTTATCCGCGGCCGTTGATCCCCGGCACCGCCAAAGGTCGGCAGGGCAAGGTCGAATCACCGCCAAAGATGCCCTCATTTTCAGTTTTTGGATCGCATGTTCCAAAATACATCAAAATACCATCATTTTTCTCCAAGCAGTTTTCACCAATTCCGGGGACCCCAAAACTCAGATAGCCAAGGGACAATAAGCTTGAGTTTGGGCCAGTTCGGGGTTTGCATTTCTGGTTTCAAACAAGACCCTCACCTTGTTCCAATACCGACCGGGTATCTCAGTCAAGGAACGCCGCGTCGAGCAACCGTGCACCACTGGGACGGTGGGCCCGCTGCAAAAATGCTAGCGGAGAACTCCAAATGTGCACCGTTTTCACTGGAAATGCTGGGGATTCACGGTTCCAAGTGAGAAAACGTTGGTCCTGTCCCGTTTCCGTTGTAAATTTTTATCCCAAAAAAAAACAAATAAAGCAAATTGTGGGAAATGCCGCAGCTGCACATGTTTGCTGTCAAAGAAATGGACAATGATTTGTTTGCAATCATTGGTCTGCCCTGCCGGCCCTTTTTCGTTTATTCCATTTAGGTTAAGAACGGGTAACTTGTGGAATCCTTCAACCTCACAACAACAGACAACTCCCAAACCAAACCAACTAACATCATATGTATATATAAGCGCCGCTATATAGACGCATACACATACACATACACATATACCTATACCTATACCTATACGTATACATATGCATATACGTATACGTATGCCGCATACGTATACGTATACATATACAAATACAAATACATATACAAATACATATACATATATTCATATATTCATATTTTCATATATTCATATATTCATATATATCCAAATATTTTCATATATATATATATTCATTTATTTATATATATATATACATATTTATATATATTCATATATTTATATATATTCATATATTCAAATAATCATATATTCATACATTCGTATATTCATATATTCATATATTTTCATATATCTTCGTATATCTTCATATATCTTCATATATATTCATATATTTTCATATATTTTCATTTATCTTCATACATTCTCACATATATTCATATTTATATTCATAGATTTATATATATATATATTCAAATATTAATATTCATATATTCATATATATTCATATATATTCATATATATTCATATAAATTCATATATATTCATATATATTCATATATATTCATATATATATATATATTCATATTTATTCATATATATATATTCATATATATTCATATATATTCAAATATATTCAATATATTCAAATATATTCATATATTTTCATTTATATTCATATATATATTCATATATATTCATATATAATCATATATAATCATATATAATAATATATTCATATTTTCATATATTCATATATTCATATATTCATATATTCATATATTCATATATTCATATTTTCATATTTTCATATATTTAAATATTCATATTTTCATATTTTCATATATTTAAATATTCATATTTTCATATATTCATATATATTCATTTATATTCATATATATTCATATATATTCATATATATATTCATATATATTCATATATTTTCATATATATTCATATATTCAAATATTCATATTTTCATATTTTCATATATTCACATTTTCATATATGCAGATCTGTTCTTATCAGACAGCGGTCATTGCAATTTGAAACTTTTCCTTGAGTCAAAAGCGCCTTAACATAACACTGATTCACATGTGCATGTTGCACACTGAGTTGACATGTTTCTGACAACTGAATATACGCTATTGGAGCTGGAATACAAACAGGGTAAATATGTTTCACCCCGCCTCGGCACAAACTTCAGTTGAAGTGCCGATAGCAAAGAAAACTAAATTGGAAAAGTTTTGCACTGAGCTGGGTGCCGTTGGGGCATGCTTTGATGTGCCACTACTTGCCAACTCCTTTGGAGTTTCAGCTCAGCACAAACAGAGAAACACTCTAATTTCCTCAAGGTAAATCCAGCGCCAACGGAGACTCAAATTACCCTCCGGCTCAGGCGCAAGCCACTGGCTCAGCAACAGCACTGGTCGCTGCTACTGAACTTTGCTATTGCTGGAACTTTTGGAAATTGCTATGTTTCTTCATCATACTCTGGGCTCTCTGATTCATTGCTTTCTTCGTGCTGCATCAAAATCCATAGGTCTGGATCGCTCACTTCAGACTGTGTGCTTCGGCGATACCTGAAACGTATCTGTGAGGCTGTCTCATCAAAGGAGCTGGATTCTGTATTTGCGCCAGCAGCATCGTAGTCCAGATTGCGGACCAAGGAGTTTGCTACCATGTCCACATTCGTGCTGAACCCACTTGCACTGCTGCTAGGCTGTCCAGCCTGAAGAGACGCAATGAAACTCATTGCACGCTGGGCATCGCCAAAGTTGACCACTGGAGCGTTGATGCTAGCAAAGTTTGGTGAATCTTCATCATCACTGATGTCTGGCAGGGTTGCTAGGCTTTGAAGTGCAGCCTTTCTCCACCTTGCATCTTCGGATCTCATTGCACCTTGAAGTCCATGGAGAATGGTGATTCTTTCGTTGTAGAGAATTCTGCGTTCACCACTGTCTGCTGACAGTCTTCTTCTTTCACAACGTTCAATCAACCATGACACATAGTCTTCTGCGTTTGGTTCTCGCCTTTGTCTTTCTAAAGGTTCAGCTTCAGCGGCAACTCTCATTTCAACGTCCTCATCATGAACTTGTGGGCCTTGTGTCCTCGTTGCATCTGGCTCGGCATCTGGTTCAGGCTGATTGCCATTGTTGTGGCGGCTGCCACTGCAAAACCACCAAACCAACAGAACTGCCAAGCCACAAATGGTTGTGAAAAACACCATAGCCCAAGAGGGTTGAGCATCTGGATCCACTTCTCCATCACAACCCTTTTGAAACAAGCTCAAGGCGCTCAGCATGGCCAACATGTTGGCCTTCTTCGTCATGATGCCGCCTGGATCGCTGGCACCTTCAACCTCGGCTGTTGTAAGTTATACATACCAAGCAAACACATGAGGCTTCGAAGTCTGGCACAAGGGAGACGCTTTGTCCCGATGTCAGCTGGGTTGCAAGAGCCTGCAACTGTCGATAACTTGATCTGACCTGAGTTGATGTACTCCTGCAACCATAGGACTCTGCAGGACAAATGTCGAACACGTCCTACCCCTTGTCTTTGCAATATGCCACGGGCTCCAGAACTGTCGGTCAGCAGGTAGATCTTGACTTTGCTGTTTGT